GAGGTCAGAATGGAGGGAGTTGAAGTCCGCTTTCGAATCCCCACTGTCAAAACACTGTTTCGTTTCTACAGAAGGTGAACAGATGACGGCCATGCCTTCTGTAGCTACTCCCTGCTGATGGGGATGATGTAGGGAGTTTGGAATGGAAGACTTCAGCAGGTAGGAGAACTTTTCTTGAGTCTCTCCTGAAATAGACACTAAAGGCATCTCCACGCTTTTGCGAAGAGCGCAGGCTCCCGTTTGACAAATACAAAGACCAAAACAACAACCAAAAAGAAAAAGAGTAAGAAATATAGCAGGGTATATTTCTGTTTGGGAAAAGATCTAATGTAGCAAACTGCTAGAAGGATCTAGGTCTAGGGCATTTATAGCAGTGATGTGTCTGTTTAAAGCTTTCATGGCTTCGGTTACATTTTTCTGAGTGATTTTGAAAATATAGGCAACATTCTGTTTTAATGAGAGCACAGGTCCCTCTTTGGGTTACAGTCAAGACATCGAAGACCATTTGGTTTTGAAAGACTAGTTTTCAAATTTGTGTGGCTTCACCATTTATGAGGGTGACTGTGTGCTGGATTTGGTTAAAGGCAGCTGCTGTGTGCTTAGCTAAAGCCTCTACTTGGAATTCTACATCAGTAGAGGCAGCTCCATGGACAAACAGGGCTAAGGCAGAAGACCATGAAGAAGCCTTCTTTGCCTGGTGTCTAGCTTTTAACAATATCCCAGTTATGAATCACTGGCAAGTGGGAGGGGACTCTTCTCGGGAGAGATGTGCATTCTTAAATACACCATCCAATCCAGTCACGTGTCCACTATTTTCACGAATCCACAGGTAACCCCATAAAGTGCGGGCATGCTCTGGCTTTTAAGGGGGTTTTGAGCCCCACATTAGGCTTGCACTAACAGTGTGGACCCTGAGTGGGATTCTCTCTCTCTCTCTGCCCTTCCCCACTTTTGCATGCCCATGCATTCTTTCTCCTTTCTCTCAAAATAAAATAAAATCTTCAAAAAAAGAAAGTTTTTTGGGGTTTTCTGGGCAGATAAAGAAAAAAAACATTGTTTATGATTTCTTATCAAGAGTACACCAACAATCTTTTTAACAAAGAGAAAAACCAAATCCCAATCTTGGAGTGTATTTTTTAAAAATCCATTCATTTCAATCTTAGTCCTGGCCATGCATAAAAGTCTTTTCTGAAGATTCCCCTTACAAACCTACAATTTCCTTTTTCATTCAGATTTGCTCCTAAGCTTTCTCTCTTCAACTAAACCAGTCTCATTTTAGGACAAAATTACTCCCTTTTCCACAAAAATGTATTCCCATTCCTCATGCCTTTCTTTTCAAAACCATATCTCACTTTCTTTGCATACGAAGTTACTTATCATTTTACTGCATTTATCAAAATTCTCACTCTTAGAAACCTTAGCTTCCAATGAAACCTAAGTAGCAACCAACTGTAAACTGTCCATTACACACAATTCTTTAGATCAGAAGTTTACAAATACATTTCATATTTTCTAGAAACGTGCTTTTCCATAATATAACCTTTCAATGAAGCATAAAAGCAGACCCCAGTACCTTTGGTTACTCTATAATAAGAAGTCAAGAGTAGATAAGGCTATATTTAGTAATTAATGTTTCAGTATTTTATCTTATTTCGAAAAGATGTAGATATCCAATGAGTTCAAACGAATTTATTACTTAACCTAGCAAAAAGATTTAAGTTACAGAAGATGTTAAAAGCTATAAACCTTGTCATTCAACCTTGCTCTGGATAATTACCCATGAAATCTTTATGAAACAAACATTAGCTTTCATTTTAAGTCCAACTGTGACAGATAAAACATGAGTTTAACTAACTCAGGTAGAAGTTGATTCTCTGCATTTATATTTGATGTTGACAACTCCACAAGACACGCCCATTTTAATTAAACCACCAGACTTAAATTAGCTTTAATACCAATAGGTTACACCTGTGACAAAGTCAATCACTCTGTTCCCTACTGTCAGTTTCACCTGGGTCTCCTGTGGGGCATCTGAAGTGGGCAGTCTGAGGTCCGGAGCCCCTTTATGATGATTTGGGAGTTTGAACCTCATAAGGAGGTGGGGACAGCCACTCAATAGTGAGAGTAGGAAATTCAGGAGTGATGGGGCCAGAGGCAGGGAGCATGGTAAAGGCGCTGGCTGCGTGAGACACAGGCAGTGCTGTAGACAGACACAGGAGAGGGGGATTCAAAGTTTGGACTAGCACTCCTTAATCTGTCTCCTTTCTCTCCTTTTTCTCTGGTTGTTTTTCAGCCCTTTGCACCATTTATTCAAAATATGTTCTAATCGCCTTTCTTTGGCAACGGAAGGCATATTCCCCAATCTTCCTAGATCAAAGTTCAGAAAAAACACAGAAAACACAACTGTGACTAAATGAAGCCCAGAGTACCTACATTCGCGTTTGTTCTTCCCCAAAAGTCAGCTTCACTGACTGAACCACATGGCTTCCCAAACTAAGACAGCCAAAGGGAAGTCCCTATAGGGAGGCAAACAAATGAGAGGAAGGAATCCCAGAGAGCCATTCAGTGGCCATTTTTTCTCTGAGCTTAACATACATGGGCCACGCAGAATTAGAATTAAAAAAAACATCCTCTTAAGGATGCCTGGTTGGCTCAGCTGGTTAAGTGTCAGACTCCTGATCTCAGCTCAGGTCATGATCTCACAGTTCCTGAGTTTGAGCCCTGTGACCGGCTCTTCGCTGACACTGTAGCGCCCACTTGGGATTCTCTCTCGCTCCCTCTCTCTGCCCCTCTTCTGTCGTGCACACACTCTATCAAAACAAATAAACTTAAAACAAAACCCAAACATCTTCTTATTGATATATTTATAACTAAAAGCAGACCAGTCAGCCTGTACTCTCCCTGAGGGGTTGGGGGGGGGTACTGGTAGGGGCTAGTTAGCATTCCCCAACTTGCACACACACAATTTCCAACAAAAATCTCCCCATATCTCCCCAAATGCACACCCCGGATTCCCGTGTACCTCACAGTACCTTTACACATTACAACAGCCCCTGCCACAACTCTAGCTACACAACCGGAGCAAATGGGTTATGAAAACCTGAAACAAATGGTTCATAAGAACCCAACAGCAGGGAAACAAGGATGGTGTCCAGCACGCACCTATGGGGGCAAACTTACCGGGAGCCAAATTTCTAGCACCTGCTTACTCTTCAAATTGTTGGTTTCTCTGCTTCACCAAATGCAGTTAAGGCAGTGGACCGATGCCGTTCAGGGCAAGTCCTCAAAACATAGGTGTCAGCAGCTGCACAGGACTTCCTGTCCTCGCCATCCATTCGGGGTGGACTGACCACGAGTAGCTGATGCTGACCTGTCAAAGCCACGGGCTCAGTAAAGGAATGGCGGAGCCCAGGTGCACTGCCGGGACCAACCGCAACGGTCAGGGGAATCTCGAGGGGGCTGGATAAACTGTGAACGTACAGCTCCTGGCTGGCTTGCCAAGAATTGCAACTAGGGCACAGGGTGCAAGAGCATCTGGTTCTGGGGGTCCCCAATGGACCAGGTTTGGCCACTCGCCACTGACAAAATGCAAAGGTGTTGGATTTTGCCAATGGTGGTAAAGTAACAAAGGAGGTAAAGTAAGAAAGGGATTTATTTGTGAGGCAACACCAGGAAGACAGCGGCTGGTGTCACAAAGATAGTCTCCAGAGTGCCGAAAATTCTTCGGGTTTGTATTAGGAAAATGTGGGACAATGGTGGGTGGATACACGGCAGGTGGGCAGTAAAGGTCAAGTCCATCACTGTCTCCTGCTAAGTCCGCAGGGTTTTGCTGCTGTCAGGGCAGTCCCTATTATTTGAAAGGGTGGTTTCAGCCCCCATCAGGGGATGTTTGCCGGCCAGGTCTCTTTTGCCTGAGTTAACAGATAAGCTGGAAAGAATTTCAGCAAGCCGAAGGTAAATAAACATTAAACAATTTAAAAAAAAAAATAGAAGTCAAGTCTTTCAGTAGATTTTGTATATGCTAGAAAAAGAAGACTGCCAAGTTAAAGACCAGTTAATGAATTAATTCTGGCTTTAAGGTGAGATTTTCTTACTTTATACCTTCTATATCCTTAGTTGTCTCAGTATGAATTACCTAAACATCTTCACTTACTCTACCTTCTGGCCAAAGACTCACCATTCTCCAAATTTCCCACTCCTTATCACCATACCTATGCTAAGGTCACTTCTCTCTGGAGCATCCTTCCCTAAATATCATGTAACCAAACCCCGCCAAGATGTTTAAGGTGATCTCTTCTAAGAAATCGATCTCACCACTCACACTCTAGAGAATTCTTATTGCCTAAACACCGATTACCCTTGAAGTCTTTTATAGGCACTTATAATCAATTCCAGTTTGTATCCTAGCCGTTCATGTTGGTTTTATGTGTTTCTCATGTACTAGGTAATAGGTTCCTTATGGGGAAAAAAAAAATCAAGATTTACTCATCTTTGTGTCCCCTACAATGTTCAGCATAATAGAAAATCAATGTTTGAATTAATGAGGTATATTTTGCAATTCAATGTATATGATGTTAAAAATTGAGAAAGACCAGGGGCGCCTAGGGTGGCTCAGTCGGTTAGGCGTCCGATTTAGGCTCAGGTCATGATCCCGCGGTTCATGGGTTCGAGCCCTGCATCGAGCTCTGTGCTGACAGCTAGCTCAGAGCCTGGAGCCTGTTTCAGATTCTGTCTCTCTCTCTCTGACCCTCCCCTGCTCACGCTGTCTCTCTCTCTCTCAGAAAAAAATAAAACATTTTAAAAAATTGAGAAAGACCAAATGATTCACCAGTTTTTTTTCAAAATTTTATTTATATAGAATCTTCAGAATGTTTGCGTTTAATTTTTACCGCAAGCTAAAATTTCAAAGCTTAAAATCAGATATTTTAAACATGTCATTGTTAAGTAAAGGGGGAAGAATTAGACCATTTTGAGGAAAAACTTTCATAACTGTATAAACATTAATATTTACAATATTCTTTAATATAGATTTAGACAATGTGGCATCATATTTAAATGTACAAAATAGTTTAAGCAATTATCTTTCATTACAGAACATTCCAAAATTCAAAGTAATAAAAGAAATCCATAAACACTAATAACATTTGGGGAAAACAACAGCCACAGGCTTTAAGTGAACTTATACATAATATACAATTTACACATCAAATCCACAAATTCAAAGATCTAGGGCCAGTCTATTTAAATCATGCTGGAATCTAAATACTATTTTACAATTCATAGCTTGAAACAAATATTCATAGCTTGATAACCTATGAAACAGGAGTACAAACTATGAAATCACATTTAACATTCTTCTTAAATCCTCAAAGAAATATTCTAGAAAACCTCAAAGACAGCACACAAGGCATTTTTCCCTGAAATTAAAGTTCTTATGAATATCTTCATAAATATAGTCGAAGGAAGAAAATACAAACAACCCAGATATCCTAAGTTAATTTTACATTCTCAAATTTTGATTTTCTCCTCATTTTAGGGAGCTAACATACTTATTCTCTGCTTTGTTCCAGAAAGAATTTAAGGTGGCTTAAAAGATTCATAAAAGGCCAGAAAGCACTAATTACAGGGTAAATGAAAGGAAAAAAAAACCCCAAAAACAGAAAAATAGAGCTTGGGGGGAAAGCACATATAAAACCACTTAAGAAAAGGTCAGGAATTAAAGTATATTACATTATTCTCCACAGTGATTTTCTGGAAATATTGCAAAGTATGGTATCAATTTGTAAGAAAACTATTTAGCTGCTGGTAAACTGGGGATACTGATCAAATTTGTTAAATTTTATATTAATCCTGATAGAGATATGATAAAAATGTGCTTTTTCCTTTGTGCTTGGATGAAGTAAGTTTTCCTAAATGCCATGATGTAGGACTCTGGACTTAAGTCTCTTGCTACTGGTAGAGGAGAATGTAGGTTAAAAAAGAAAAAAAAATTACTTGCCCTTCCTTAATTAAACTACTGAGAAATCCATCAACTGAATGCCTGCTGATGACTTGAGGAGAGGCAGCCATAGGTCAGGGGGCTAGGTGTCCTTCAGTCTCTCTGTCCACATGCAAAGCATCAATCCTGGGGCGTCCTGCCTGCATCACTTGCCCCGGGTCCCCCAGCTCCCCCGTCAGGACCCGGCGAGACTGACGGGAAGCAGGCGCACGATGGCAGAGCAGGAAGCCCGCCGGGGTTGGCTTGTTGAGGCTGTGGCCACTCTGCGGCCCACACCCACCCCGCTCCTGTGGGGGAGCATAGTTAACGGAGGGAAGGCGGGGGCACCGTTAGCTCCCACAAAACACGAATGGGTCTGTTTAACTCCACTCCTCAGGCCCCGTTTCAACAAATGCCATATGCTGAGAGGTAAGAGGTGCAGGGGGTGGGGATGAAGAGAAGGGCTTGAGGGACATGAAGAAACGAAGGTGGTAGGATACGTGGCTTGAGTTTCAAAACTATAGATTAAGGATCAGAACAAAACTATCTACATGAAAGCTAAAACTAATCACTGCCGCCTATCTTTTTTTGGAAGGACTGTTCCTAATCAACAAGTTTTGGTCAGGTGAGTAAAGAATGAAGTTCAAATCTATAGATCTAAAGCCCCAGGAACTGCGACGTTCTTGGCTGGGGTGAAGCTGCCACCCTAGGTCTGTGACACTGGCTTTGCAGGGAGAGGGGAAAGGCTGCGGTCTTCCCAAGGATACCCCTCGGAACACCGGCAGAGCCACCTCACCATCTATTAGGCACCGTGACTCCAGCCCACAATACCTTTAAGACCCGTAAAATGTTTTAATTCCTTTTAAATTCAGAAGGAAAAAATTCAATCTTACAGATTGAGGACATGTTTATATACATTAGGTTCATTTCATACAAATGCAATTGTAATGAATTTTAATTTTTTTTATGGAAGAAGATATCCAAGAAGGCAAAAGTGTCTAAGTCCTAATGTGACTTTGAAGATAGTGCAAGGATACAATAATGGAAGGGGAAGGAGAGTCTGCGCTTGTTGATTTTATTCTTTTTCTTTTTTGAATGTTACTTTCAGATTAGATTTTAAAAAGAGCTAAGTCTAATACTGGCGAAGTACTACTGTCAATTTCCACTAGCCAAGCAGGAAAAAGAAAAATGGTTCATTATTTCATCATCACTGGGCAACAACAATAAGAATCAAATGAGGATGGAGAGATCTGCATGTTTTCAGGTCGTGTCTCCACTCCCGTAAACATTACCAGAGGGAGGTTTTCCTTTGGGTCTCTGCCTCCTCCACTTCCTATGTTACGTGGCCCCTCAACAGACTTCCTCTGTGCTTCTCCAAGGCCCTGGCTCTGACCGCCCTCAGTAGCCCAAGCCAGCAGTGAATGTGGTCCCTGCAGTTGCAAAGATGTTTTAAGAATATGATAAGAGCAAAAGAAAACAGGTAGAATGAACGAAGAGGAAGGAGAGGAAAATACTACAGATTTTAATGTTCTAAAATTACATGGTCCTGGAAAAAAAGGGGAGTGAGGAATTTATGCTAAAATGTTACCTGTGGTTTTCTAGATAATAGGATTTATATGTTTTTGTTTTATTCATTTTCTGTTTTTTAAAAAATATTTTATGATAAATGTACTCTATCATCGGGAAAAAACACTCTGTAGATATTATTTAAAAAACTGTGCTCTGCAACTCTAAACTCTGAAGATTACCGTCTCGGAGGTAATGAAGTCTCTGACTTCCTCACAGTATGGCTTAGGTTGGTAAATATGGTTAACTGTTGGCATGCAGAAGAACCGGCTTTGAGAACAGAAATTTTAACAATTTCCATCACCCAAATACATCAATATTATACAGAACTATCAATCAAGAGAGCTAATTAATACCACTTTCTAGGATCTGTTCCCAATGTACAATGAGAAAAATATGTCAAAAGGAAGAGTACAAAGGAATCAATTACTACCTTTTACAGAATTGCAGACTTTCTGTGCTTGGAAGGAAAACTAAGTCATAAAACTTAGACCCGTGGATTACAGGTGAAGAGCTTGAGGTCCAGACAGATGTGATTTTTATCACTGTCACAGAGCAAAGCTGATAACAGAATTAGGATAAGAACTCAGGTTTCCTGATTTTTGGTCTGTAGCTCTTATAAACCCCGGTCGCAAAAGTAATTGCTTTATACACTGTTTCATTGTTTATCCTAACTACATATAGAGGAATACATTTTAGACCTGGAAGGATGTTAGGAAGGTAATTCAGACCTCAGTTACACCCCAGAGAAGGTCAACTATATCCCTCTCTCCACCCCCCACCTCCAAGTCACAAGGTTGAGCCAAGACCCAGGCCACCTAAAACTGGCTCACTGCTCTCTCAAACATCTTCTTCTGTGGCTGATGATTACAACCAAACAAGAATCATATCCAGATAAGATGTAATAAAACTGTTATTAGTAAGGATGCTTGGGGAATGAGTGTAAATCAGTTCCAAGGCTAACAAAAATAAACTCAAGTCTATTTGAGTAAATCAGGCAGCATCATTGCCAACTTTACCTGAAAATGTACTTCAATGTAAATCACAACCGTAAGTTTTGTTGTTGCTGGAAGATGATGTAAATAAGGGCTTTCAGTGTGTCGGGTTCATGCCTCTGGAAATAAATCATAAATGTTTGTAATTCTCTAGAGTAGGGGTTGGAAGATAATGGCCAGCAACTTGTTTTCTGTGAGGCTCATGAGGTAATAAGATTGGTCTTACAGTTTTAAAGGACTGTGAAGAAATACAAAGAAGAATGTCTGATAGAGATAGTATGTGGCCTACAAACTTAAGTTATTGACTAAATGCCCCAAAACTGGGGCATAAGACGTTTGATGACTTATGTTCTAGATTTAGAAAGTATATGAAACTGGGCTAGATATGTAATATACCCTGGAGGCTTTTTTGTTTTTCAAATTAAATCTCGGATTTAATATTTAAGCATTATTATAATTTGCCTCTTCTCATAGCAGGTAGTAGAAAAATCTAGTTTGAGGGTTATGATTACTCATCTTCTACTTAAATGAGGTTTTACCACACACACTACTAGAAGTGGACATACAGTTGAAGCTAATTATTTCTTGTATCTGAAATCCACACAAAATTTTCAGATAGCTGAGAAAACGGCATATCCTGTTGTATTGCGTTGCTGCTATAAAATACAATGGAAATAAATATCTACAGTGGGAAAACTGGCAAGCTGATTCTCTCCTTTGGGTCTCTTCTCTATGCATGGTTTAAGATTTTCTCCTGAGGTCTCCCCTGGCCTCCTACAGCACGTTGTTAGATTTACCATACCACTAGTTCTCAACCATGTTAGTTACCTCAGTAACCATCCATCCATATCTCATTTGTAACCATAACCAAATATCACCAAAACACATGGAAAAAAATGGAAGTGCTCCTAATGACACACAAAGTACCAAAAATGGAGTGACTAGTTTGGGGAGAAATAAATATTACAGACACGTTCCATTTATCGACCTGAACACAACAGTACAGCAGACAGCCCTTCAGAGTCTATTGCACTGCTTACTGGCCATGGTTGGACTGGAACACTGCAGCAGGCCCTGGTTCACACAACGCTCTGATAACCACTGTAAGAAAACAAGTCCGTATCTCCGTGTCATATGATCTGTGTGGCTAAGCTGGATTTTGTGAACTAGAGAAAAAATATTAAAGTTGTGCCACTATTAGCTAAATTACAATAAATAATTTCAAGGTTATTACTTTGAGAGTAGGATCTATTCTGTCCAGATTAGAATGCCTTACTTTAAAACAATTACATTAACAATTCCTTTGGACCCACAGCACCGTCCTCTTCAGCCACTCCATTCTCTTGCTTGCTTTTATAATTGGAAAGGAATAAATTTTCTACTTGAGTCAAGAATTCTTCAGCAATGAAACAATTAGTCACGTTGCTCAGAGTTTTCCTCAGACACTCCAAGAGCTATTGGAAAGAAAAGTTTTATATTTAAAAACACAAACAGTATAAGAAGAGGGTTTTCACTACTATAATTATTGTATCCCTTTCCGAATCTCAATTTTCTAATAAGCAAAAGAGAAACAGTCTCCTTAAATGTGGCTGAAGATAGATTTGTGACCAATAATCATGCATCTAGAGTGTGGGAAGTCACTGCTGAGAAACGCTTGGGCTGGTTCCTTTATGACTCTCTATGAGGAGACAAACCTGAGATTTTAAGTGTGATGTTTCCTACTTTGGACAAATATGTGACTTCGCATCTTTTTTTAGTAGTTACATTTCCAAAGCAAACTAATCCTGAAGAATAAAAATCTATGTACATACTCAGGTTCTACTATTTCAAAATCAGGATGGTAGAAACAGTCTGTTTCCTGAGAAACAAGCATATTAATCTTCCAACAGAAAATAAAGTTTTAATTCAAAGGGGTAAAAATATTAAAAAGAAATTTAATATGTTTAAATTTTCTCTTCTTAAATTGCTACAAAAAAAAAAATAGATGTTGCCAGTCTACTGGTCTTTCACTCTTTATACTCATAGAAACAAAATAAGAAGTGAAATAAAAGAATTCAGGACTATTTCCTACTAGAAAGTTAAGCAAAATGACACTTAAATTTAATTATTAGATTTACACTACCATTCTTAAAAATGAATGACTGTTAAAGCTAAATGGCAACATGAGACTTTTGAATTTAATAAAATAAGAAAAACGTTCTCCTCTGTATACAATAATAATATGCTAGGAAATTTATCAGCCAACACGGACAAATATATTCTAAAACAGTATTATTTCTATGGGCAAGTGTGGGCAACAAAACACATTACTAATTATCTCCCAGAAATTAATTTTAGAAAGGAAACAGCAATAGCAAAAATACACAGAAAATGTATCCACAAAGCATTAGGCATCATGGGAAAACACATCAAGATGAATAGCTTTAGAATCTGTGAACAACAGAACCAATTAAAACGAAGGCAGCTTACTTTCTGCAAACAAGTCAGGTCAGAATCCCGGCGAAAGATTTTATCCATAGGGACACTGCTGTTGGAAGAAATATGAAGACAAACCAATGAAACAAATACCATAAACGAATCAGTTTTCTAATAAGCTGTCACTGATGCCATACATCATCATTTTATATTTAACGTGGGCTTTCTCTAAAACACCACTTAATGAGAAGCACTGCAGAATGTGCAGCCGTCTCAAACCACGGCACATACCTATGGGATAGCCGGTATTTTTCTATTATCCATCTTGCCTTTTCAAACACTAATCCCCACTGGGGCTCTTCTAGCATCTGTTGTACTTCAAATTTGTAAGGTAAACCTAGAAAAACATAATGAAGCAGACTGTCATCAACTATTGCTTAAATCCCCAATCTCCTTTTAATGACCTAGAATCCCCACAACCACAACAACCTGGCAGACCAGCTGAACGCACTTTAAACATAGTGGGCCTTCATTAAATATCTCCTGCCTGGCTGAACCTGGCCCATCGAGCACATTAATGCTAACCAATTAATAATAATAAAAGTACAAGTACCATTTGCATGACAATTCTATGTAAGAAACTGAGAAGCAGGATGATCACAGAATTTATATCCAAATCAAAAGACTTCTGGAGTGAAAGGGGGCACTGTTAAACCGGTGCCAGAAGCACGGCTTAACCATACACTGAGGTAGGCAAACCAAGACAACGCCATCCAAGTGATTTTTTTATTTTCACATGGGTTACTAAGCTAACAGCACTGCTATAAATAAAACAGCATCATTTCTATCTAACAGATAAGGAAACTAAGGCCGAGACATGTGAAACAACCCGCTGAGACTGGTGCAGGTTTTTTTAAGCCCGAGCAGGTCCGCCCGGCTTCTGGGCCCGCACTCACTTCACCTCCCTACAGTGCTAACCTAACCAGCCAGGGAGGGGGATGAACTCTGGAAGGGCAGCAACTGCACTCCTGTCACAACCGACATGCTCAGTTCTAGAGAAAGGAGCCCAAGGGGTGGATAGCACGTACATAGCCAGAAAGGCAAAAGACCAAAGGATGAGTCTACTTAGGAATTTCTGATGTAGCCACCAAAATCCCCCTGTAGTTATAAGAAAAGCTCAGTTGATTTGTTAGCAAAGGCCAGTATCATGAAAATAATAGTAAACCTTATATCATGCTTACTACGTAGCAGGCTTACGGTGCTTTACATATGGATGCCACTTAAGTGAACTAGCTACCAGTACTGTCCTTTATTTATTTATCTTTGGATGAGGACACAGGGCCACAGAGAGGTTAAATAACCTGGTCATCAGCATATATGTAACTACTAAGTAGAGCCAGGATCTGAGCCCAGGCAGTCTGGCTCCAGTTACTAACTACATTATACTGCCTCTCAACTGGGCTTTAGCCAATGTTAAGACTTTTCAGGTAAATAAAATGCTGGCAAATTGAAAAACATGAAAAAAATGATGGAAAAAAAACAAACATTACGACTGTCCTTCCTTACAACATAAGCATACTTTGTCAATATGCTCTAAAATGGTCTTTTTTCCCCGGTGGATCTTTTTTTTTTTTTTCATTTCTCAATTCTCTTCTATTTCATTTCTTCCTTCCAAAAACTTACAAATAATTCATTTGACTAGTTTTATTGTGATATTTACTTTATGGTGGTGGTCTGGAACCAAACCTGCAGTATCTCTGAGGGAGGCCTGTAGCTAACATGCACGCTGCTTGGCCCTAACTTTTCTGCACAACTTAATCCTTTGGCCCAGAGGCCACGGTGACACAGTGGGGAATTTAGTCTAGAGGATATCACTGAAGGGAAGAGGGAAGCTGACTACATGGTATGCACACAGTGACTGTCTAGTTGAGCATGCAAAGTTTTTCATCACACAATTTCACAAATAACAAATTCTTTGCTATGAAAGATTCAAATAAATGAAGGTAGAAATAGGATGAAGTTGTTTTTGTTGAAAACTTACGGTAAGAGCCATCTGGGCTCATTTCATCACTTATAACCAGGCAGGTAATCTGGGAATAAGGTAAAGGATTGCTTTGATTGTAAGGACTAACGATCATTCCAATGAACTTTGCACCGCCTCTGGAGAAGTAAGTCTACAATCAAAAGAAAAGTATAATTAATCTTGACTACATAAATTTAAAAATCAGTATTTACCCACAGCAACATCTTAAATACCTAATGGAAGAAAAAGGAACACTAAAATGTGTTAAAAACTTCACATCCAAACAGCAACCAAATGAAATATATTATATATCATTCCACACTCTTTACATTTTTCAGGGCAAAATGTACTCAACCCAACCAGAAATGACCCTTAAAAAAAATCACCTGGCCTGCAAAATCTGTATATACCATGAATATGTCTACAAATTAGTTTCACTACCCTTCAGCTATAATCTTTATCGATATGATAACAATAGCTGCCCATAGCAAAAACATATACCTATCAAACATAAACTATCAGAACAAAAGTTTCTTTTTTCCAGAGATGCAAAATAGACTGCTTCTGATTATTTCACTTGTACCCAGTCCCTGTCCTAGTTGTTCCCATCAAGTTTTAAAGGCTCTGGGAGTAATTATCACTGTCACTTAGATGGTTTGTCTGTACTAAACAAAAGAGCTGATTTTCCAAATGTTTAAATAAACATATATTCTGTAATCAGAAAAAATGCAGTTATTTCAAAACTCCAGATGTAAATAATATTAGAAATGCAATACTTTGTTAGAAATGTTAAAAGTATATTTATAGAGGGCACTTGGGTGGCTCAGTCAGTTAAGTTTCCGACGTCAGCTAAGGTTATGATCTCACGGTTCATGAGTTCGAGCCCCGTGTCAGGCTCTGTGCTGACAGCTCAGAGCCTGGAGCTGCTTCAGATTCCGTGTCTCCTTCTCTCTCTGTCCCTTCCCTACTTATACTCTGTTTCTGTCTCTCAAAGATGAATCAACATTTTTTAATAAAAGGTATATTTATATAATAGAAAACAAAGAGAGAGAGAAAACCTGCAACTATTTACACACAACATACATATCAAGACTTAGAGGCACACCTGGTATTTGGCTTGAGTGTCAATATCTCTCAAAGAAGGATTTGGATCAAAGGCAGGATGAGAATGATACCACCCAATAACACTATAGCCTCTCGCAGCCAAGGTTTCCGAGGCCTGTGTTTGTGAGACAGGATCCATCTCACACTGCAGTCCTGTGCTCAGACTGTTACATGGCTCTGCTGCACAGACCTATAAAAGATTAATCCTTATATGGTTACCCTGAAACCTGCTAATTCTATTACTTTTTTAGTTCTTTTGTACATAGACACAGAGACTTTTTTTAAGCCAAGTCTTGTATTTGACAGCATCACAAGCAGCCTTTAACTTGCAAATGAATTAGACTTCAAAAGTGTGACTGTGTGTAGGAACTCAGAATCCACTTTTCTACTCAAACGAGGCCATAATAACTGTTAGTGTTCCAGGTCAGCCCACATAATACCTGCACATGCAAAGTCTTTCAGTAACTCCTATTATTTATGATAATAATTTCAACAAAGTGATGCATGCTAGGTTTCAACTATGAGGTTGGTGCAGGTTTCCTGGCCTCTTAAGAGTAGTTGTAGCATTTTGTTGGTGAAGGCAATGAGGAGGCAAGGCCTGGGAGTGCTCCCACTCTCTTGATGGCATAAGGAAAAAGGTGCTCAATATATGGAATGTTAATTTACTCCTGGGAATATCAAACCTAAATTGGCATATTCTCATTTATGTCACAGGTAAGTCTATATTTTAATTAAATCCACTGAAATCTATAAAAATATTTGGTATGGCAGCAGGACTAAATAATTTTTAAAAATATTTAAAAGAGAAAACTTACTTCAACGATCTTATCAACTTCAGAGTATCTTCCTCCTAACAGACCAATCACTTCTGCCATAGAGACATGAGCATGCTAAAAAGAAGCACAGCATAGACTTAGCCCAAACACACAAATCCATCAGACAAGAAATCAGAGTACAACTCAGTAGAGGAATCAGACGCTAGGCTCACTGCACAGAGACTTAGGACTTCAGATCTATCTGCGTCGCCAGCTAAGAAGCTTCGAAACCAAACAATCAAACACTCCAAGATGTCATTTTTTAATTTACAAAATGAAGACACCATTTGCTTTCCTCACTCAGGACCCTAAGGATACCAAGTAAAACTCACTCCGGGCAGTCCTACAGAAAAACATCCTACCGAAAAACATCCAAAACCAACACAGCTACTGGAGGTCTCAGTAACTTAGTATAAATAAGGAACCTCCAAGGGGTAGGAGTTGTGCTTTGTTGAGTTATCTACAAGGCAGCAGACAAAGGATGCCAGGAAATGAAAACAGGGTTAATGATGATAAACAGTCTGCAAAAACTCACATTAATTTATTTTCTCTAAAATATGGAAACATGCAATTGTTTGGCTTTTCTCCAAAAGAAAAGACTTATTTTTAGATTCCTTGCAAAAGAAGATAGTTAAGATCCAAAATACACGTCTTCCATACTCTCTCTTAAGCCTGCAATAAAAATACACAAGAATAGAAATCAGAGTAAGTAAACACAATAGATTATCCTTACCAAATCCATTATTAAAAGTGCTTCTGAAGCCACTTTCACCTGAAATGGCTCCTGAAATATAAAAAAAAAAAAAAAAAGGGGGAGCATAAAAATAGAGATTTATTCTTTCTCACTGGAATAATCACCCTTTTCTTCTTTACCTATCATACCAAGTTCCCATCATCAACCAAGCCTCAGCACAAACCAGAGATTTTTAAAAAATTTGTCATTCAAAACCCTAGCATGGAGAAATTCTTTCATTTCCCATCTGTATCACTCATCTGACCCTAATGTACCTTGCCTCGTCTAATCTTTCAAATACATATATGCCTTGCACACACAGGAAAGAAATACTTCCTGTCGACAGGAGGGCATGATTTATGGCCATTCAGTGATACATAAATAGTACCTGCTTTTCTTCACTGAAAAAATTACAAGGTATCAGCTGGAAGGGATCAAATGAGCTGAAAAAGAAAAAAAAATCATTTCTAATATAATCTCAGTAACAAGATCAGAAAAAACATTCATTTAAATTTGAAAATGTGTATCAATAATCTAAACCTAGATTCTCAGAAAATACTAAGCTAGGAGAGTTTCTTAGGGCGTTCTACATAACCCTACTGAGTTTTGGACTTGATAAAAAAATGGGAAATGGCAGGACTTTTGGGAGAAAATAACTCTGTTGTCGTAATTTCTTTTAACACCCAAAGAGAAGAACGTTGTACCCACACGTGTGTCCTACACTGAACGCAGGTTCCAAAAAGACTGAAGAAAATGTAAACAACCCCCTGACATGACATGGGAAAGAAAGCTCAAGAAAGATGGAAGCTTCTCAAAAAACACTTGTCAGTGCAGTATCAGCATAGGGTAGGGACCCAAATATTTGTTGAATGAATAACAATGATTCTACTAAAGAAATTAATGTATACAAAAAGTTCAATGATAAACTTGTATTTAAAATGAAAAAGTTAGGGTCAGCTGGGCGTCTCAGTCAGTTAAGCATCTGACTTCGGCTCAGGTCATGATCTCATGGTTTGTAAGTTCGAGCCCTGCATCAGCTCTGTGCTGACAGCTAGCTCAGAGCCTGGAGCCTGCTTCAGATTCTGCGTCTCCCTCTCTCTGCCCCTCTTCACTCACATTCTCTCTCAAAAATAAACATTAAAAAAAAAAGAGCAAAAGTTTAAAAAATAAAGACAAAAAAGAGGGGCATGTAAGCAAGGGTAGATACAAAAGCATGTGTAAATCTGAGAGAAATATTACAAAGGCTTTGACCAGTAAAGAATTGAACAGTAAGGTTTCTTTAGGCTATGGTCAGAGAAAGAAAAACCCAAACAAGGAATATATATTCATGTTAACACAACCAGAAAAGAGCGACTATTTAGTTCCTATATCTACCAAATACTGTTACTGTCAGCAAATCAGACACTTTGTACTCCAAGTACCTAGAACAGTGCCTGATACATAGTAAGCATTTTTTCAGAAATATCTGTTGCATGAAGAGGAAAGATCTTCGAGTAAAAAAATGCTTCATCAACATGAATAAAAAAGCACACAAAGGCAGGGTATGCATCCCAGAGCCCTGAAGAACCACGATGTGAGTCCCACTGACCTTTCTGGAGGAACTGTACAGAATGGAGAAATTATTGGAGTGCTACAAAGAGGCAATTTTGGGCTTGTGTTTTTTTTCTTAAACAAAAAAAGCAGATTTGGGGAGCAGAGGAATTAAATGTGAATACTGAGAAAATTCTGGAAAAGATTACTAAACAGCCGATTTTGAGCCTTTAGCAAGTGAAGAGATGACTACTAAGAAGAAGAATAATGAATTCGTGAAAATATAAGTCATGATAATAAGCAAATCTAAATTTCATTTTTGATAGAACTGATCTGATGGAAACTAGCAAACTCATAAAGATTCAAATGTATTTTGTCTGAATATAAGCAAGACATCTACTATGATTTTTCTTCTGCATAAGATGAAAAACATGGGTCAACTGGGGCGATGTGCTGCTGATGGGGCACTGTCTGAGGCACACCCTTACCCCAGTTAAACATTTTAAGCAGTGACTAATGGCAGAAGAGGTAAACTTACTGAAATGTTGATTCACATCTACAAAGGCTAAGATGAGAAAAGTGGATCTGGAGTCAGACTGTGACAAACTGGAACAATGACTTGGAAATCACAATAAATATGTCTTACATTTAGATTCAGAAAATCAGATGTCTGGATACTGGATAAGGAGTCCTAGCTTATGGGTGATGATACTGTTTACACAGTTTATCTCATTTAATTTACTCTCACAACTACTGTAAGTTTTAATTTTTATTTTAGAGAGGTGATATATAATGTAATGTTAGCAATATGGATTCGGAAGCCTTAGTGCCTGGACTTAAACACAGCTCCACCACTAACTAGCATGAACAAGTTACTCAACCTCTTTGTGCCTCTCGGTTTCCTAATGAATGATAGTATTAACTACTGCATAGGGTGGTTATGAGAATTAAATGAGTTAATATATACAAAGTGCTTAAAGCATAGCTAACAGTGTCAGCTATTAGAGCTATTATTTTATGAATGAGGGCTGAAGACTTAAGGCTTTACACAACTCATCTAGGGACTTACACCTGGTTAAGCATCAGGGCTCTTTCCACTGAAAATGACCTAGTGGCATTCTCAAATATCTTGTTTCAAAAGGCGCACTGGTGAAATTATAGTCTTTCTGCATCTACAGAAAGTGAAGGTCCAGAAAATCAAGACATTTAACTTATTTGGTGACACTGTTACATGTTACAAATATCAGATTATTAAAACACACACGCACACACACACACACACACACACCCCAAAAAACCTTGCTAATAGCACCAACCAAAGAAAGAACTAGTCATTTCATGAGGTTCCCTGTTTACAATGTCTAAGGAGCTGAATGACCACCTGTCATAATCAAGGCCCCTTTACAACATATGTTGGATCCTATAGTCACTAAACCTATACATTTAAAACTTTTGCTCAAGCTCTTCCAAACTGATAACCAGTGAAATAAAAAATATCAAATGCTTTAGTAGTATTTTTAAATTTAATATGAATAATATGTTGCTAATCATATAAGGTATCTTTTCCATACATTCCTAATTGTTTGTGATTAGGGTAAAAATTATACTTGTATAACACTATACCTTTTTGTTGGTCTTGGTACTTTTGAGGATTTAACAGATTTACATTTTTCCTCTTTTCTTCTTGCCAATTCCTCAGCAGAGAGATGCTAAAACATAAAACAACCAGTTGATCAAAGAGTCCGTGAGCCACTGAGAGGCAGAATCAATAATAATAATAAAAAATACTCTTTAAAACCATAATTAAAGGCATGTGAGAACAGGATTGACTATGTTGATGGAGACGTACCTCTGTCTTTCTACTAACAAACTGAAATGCTAATTACATTAAAAAAATTGTTCCAAAATCCACAGCCATAGCAAATTAAAAACCTCAGAATCACCTGAGCCCTCCTCTTACTTATTTCCCATCTCCAGTCACCAAATCCTACTGTGTTGTTCTCTTTCCCAACAGCAAGACATCGCAGCGTAATGATCAAGAGTACAGACTGTGGAGATAGAAGGCCTCGCTCTGCTACTTACTGATGACCCTGACCAAGTTATCAAAGATTTCTGTGCTTTAGTTTCCTTACCTTTAAAATGGGAACAAAAACAGTAATAATAACAATGTCATGTTGTTATCGTAATGATTCATTAATGTTTAGAAAACACTGACAAGAGTGTTGGACACATACATGGTAAGTCTACCGTACGTACAAAATAAATCTTTTCACTCCATTTCTACTACCATTCTTACACTTTAGCCCAGATAACTATGCACCTTTTCCACAATATGTCTGGTATTTTCTCCCATCTCTACCTTTGTTTACACTGCTCCCTTAGCCTGGAATGCCCTCACCTACTTTTCTACATTTTGAGACGGTCCTGCTAATCCTTCAAGTCACGTCTTCTGTGAAACCTTGTGTCATTACACACATGCCTTGGGGAAGACCTGACATTTCTTGAGGTCAATCTTAACGGAACTTAACACAGGTTTCAACTTTCCTACGAAAAACCAGTCCTTTCTAGGTAGGAATCACGCATTACTAATGTAATCTAATGCTTGGATTAGAGACCAGGTGAGGCTAGGGGCAGGGAATGGGGAGGCGAAACACAGGAGAACAATTTGTTTTGTTGTGTTGTACTGCAACTCACGAGGAAAACTAACATTTACTGAGTAATTTGTATTTGCAAGGCTTACTAAGTACCTAGTGCCAGGACCTTCATCCATTTTATTCCATTTACTTCACTTAATTCTCTTAACAATTCTTGGAGAGAGATATTATCCACACTCCATAGATAAAAACCTGAACTTCAGCGAGGTTAAGAAACTGCTCAAGGTGAGAACGCCAGTAAGTACACATTCACACATTCTTTCCCTTCTACTGCACTGGGTGTTCACAAATAAATTATACAGATACAGAATATACACACACACACACATTCACTGCCTATGTTTCCTTTCAGAACCACTGTTTTTATTGGTAGAAATAATACTTTAATATTTCTAATTCAATTTATGTCTAATGCTTGGGACAATATTTTAATTGGTATATCAGAATGTCATTCTATAAACAAATGGTTACTGAAATGAATTAGGCATACCAACTTCCTGGTACCTTGGCAGATATTCTTGAGCTAGAAACCAGAATACAGAGATTAGATAATTAAAATCTGGAAATTCATCAAACTCCTAGTTAACTGCACCAATGCCTTCTATTTTGTTGTTTATTGGTGTCTTCTAGACAAATTAACACGGGAAGGATACACACATGCACATGCAAACAAGTGTAATATATATGACATTAAGATATATAAATATAACTGATGAAACAACTTTTAGTAATGACCTATTTGCTAAGGTCAAAAGGTCAAAGTTACCTCAAAGGTTTGTCCTTCTAAGTCTTTTGCATCACACCAATTTCCCCACGGGTCTCGGACCCTACGTCTCCTTGTGCGCTGTGATCAGATTAAAATGAAGCAAAAGGTAACAAGATTAACTTGGAGAAATCACAGCACATCAATACACAAAGCCAAAATGATATTTCTTTTAAAAAATCTGTTAATTTCTCCATTAAAATATTGTAATCTCTGATCAGCAATGCCCGACTAAATTTTATTTTATTAATTTGTGTTTAATAGTTAGCACTCTACTCAGAAATAAATCACTAATGGTTTTCTGAACTTTACTTGGATTTCTTCTCGAATTTTCATTTCTTTTTACCACTTAGAAATTAAAATACCAGAACAAAAAGTATTTTTAAGACCAAAAAGAACCATCAAGAAAATGACTTCCCTTTCAACCATTTGTGGTAGAAAACTCACAAGAACACGTAGCAAGAGGTAGAATATTAAAACTAGAGAAACTTTCTCAGCCTGAGAAAGGGAAAGATTGCCTAGTGGATACAAATAATAAAACATTACAAAGTTTGTCGACTGGATTACTAATATCTAGTTTTATAAACCTCAATACTGAAGCCTTTAAAATGGACTGGCTCAAGGGTGTCTGGGTGGCTTAGTCAGTTAAGTGTCTAACTCTTGACTTTGGCTCAGATCATGACCTCCCCGTTGTGAGCCCCCATGGGGGCTCTGTGCGGGGCGCAGTGGAGCCTCCTTACGATTCTCTCCCTCCCTCGTTCCCTCCCTCCGTTCCTCCCCAGCTCGCGCTCTCATGCACGCGCGCTCTCTCTCTCTCTCAAAAAAAAAGACTGGCTCAGAAGCCAGTGTATGAGTGGCACCTTTTCCAGCAACTGTATCTAAAAAGATCCTTTCTTATAAAAGTAAATCTAGGTAGGCAGAAATGGTTTACAGTCTAAATACTCTGAGAAAAATGTACACTCTATTATCTATACTTTTCTTCATTTACCTCACCTATTACCAACCTACTTTATTAGTAAAACCAACGAGCTCACACTATGACTCTGCCTTTTAGGAGACCTGTAGGATCACTCATTTTTAAAATAAGACTCATGAAATGTAAGATACTGTAAAACTCCCTAACCTCAAGAATTACAAAAGAAAGGCTATAATAGTTTGGATAGCTATTCCAAAAAGCTGAATCTTAACATAAGACTTTTTAAATAAACAAAGTAACTGAAAGAAAACGAGCTCAGCTGTAGGTATGGAATCTATGACACAGTATATTCAGAAACCAGAACCAAGAATTCTAAGACCAGGTTAGCAATGTCCGACGCTTCTGTGTCAAGTCTGCCAGTGAATTATAAGGTGTTTTTGGTTTCTGCCATACAACCTAACATGACACTGAGGCTAAGGTGACATACAAGAGAAAACACGTTCTTTCACTAACTGCCCAGGTGTTTGTAGTCGGCGAGAAGGGGGCACGCCCTAGTGGACAGGGGAGCGCTTACCATAGACTGCAGGCGCTGTGCAAGCTGGTAAGCTTCTGCCGCATCTTTCCGGTCTCTGACTCGTGCTCTGTCAGCTGGCTGTGGCCTGTTGTACACAGCCTGTTCTATTGGAATTCAGGAAAAATAAAACCATCTATTATTTTCTGAAACTCATTCATTCAGTGGGAAGGCACACCTATACTGACTGTAATTCATAAGCCAATTTCTAAGTTTTGTTATACCTGAGCTTCTATCTTAATTCTACAAGCACTTGGCAGTCCTCAAAAGTAATGCTCTTAAGGAAATCTCAGTAAAATGGGATATTCAGGAGATGGGTAATTTAATTTCTAATCAAACGAGTGCTAAGCCCACTTCCCTGAATTCAGAGGTCTAATACAGAAAACATGATTTCATTTCTCTTTAGTGGCTGAGGAAGCTCTGATCCCTTAGTTTTCCTGAGCAGCCAGTCCCAAGATCCAGTGCTTGGGGAAACACCGACACCAAAATGAAGGACACACCACAGGGCAGACTGTAAATTCTTGCTCTCTCTGAAATAAATAAATAATCTCTGGTAGGACATTTTCTGGTTAGCTGTCTTCTATATACTCTTCTGAAACCATAAGTTACAAAGTTCTAATTATCTATCTAATTACCTTTTCACATCTATGGTTATTAACTTTCTTCAAAATGTCTGTGTCAAGTTAATTCAATAAAAGTGAAGAATACATTTAAAATCATGCATATTTGAGAAAAACTAGGGTGAATGAAACTTTCCTCCGTGAAAAATATTTTGTCACGTTTATTACATTTAAGTGTAGAGGGTCATAAATTATCTCCTTTACTTAAACACTGCTAGACAGTATTTCTAGCACTAACACAGATTTCGCATATTAAATGGGCTACTAACTAGACTTTTCTTAAAATGACTACTTTTACTTCACAAAGAGCTGCATTGTTAAATTATTTCTCCTACTTAAGAGAATATTTTTCCTTTTCATACCAACAATTTTCACTGTAGGTTACAGGAAAATATAGCGTAATGAACAGAAATCTGTTTTACAAAAAAACTCAGTAATACATTTATTCCATAATGTTATAGCATCTTTCTGAATTCTGCATCTATACTAAATCTGCTTGAATTCTAACCATCAAGGAAGTTAATGGGTGCTCTAAGGATAAAAAATGTTGAGTAAAAGATGTTGTTGGGTTTTTATTTTTACCACATCCAAAATTGATTGCTCCTATCAATTCGAGGTATGTATGAATCCGTCCAATACAATTAACATCCCCACAGTTCTTCAGGCCAGGACGTACTGAGGTCTTATTTAAGTATTTCGGTTTGCATATCTCCCTAATTAAGAGACGGAAGTACAGTTATTTTGGATAAATAAAAACATGAAAAAAATTTCTGGGGAAAACTTTTAATATTTGAAATATCTTAAAAATTTACCCCCTCTCAATCTGTAAATGTGTAGTAAAAACAATGCTAATACATAATATCCAAGTGTACTTTTTCTTGACATTATCTTTAAATGATATAATAACTTACAAGTATAATGTGATTTTTATTATTATTTTTTCCCATATGAAATGCCACAGATTCCACTTATCCCAGGATTTTAAAGTTAGAGGTTCTGTCAACAGATCCAAATTCAAGCCTCAATCTTTGAATAAAAAGGGCACTCTGATAACATATCTAAAGTATTTACTATTAGACTTTTCTAACTTTTAATATATTACTCAGGTGGATCCATCCACTTTTAATTTGCTGGAGAGTATATTTTAATTATAAGCTACCTTATAAGTGCTTAAAAATTTTATATTGGTTTTTAATCATTAGGCCAAGAAATAAGAGTAAGCACTCTCAGTGGAAAACAGAAATAGATATAGGGGATTTCCAAGGAATCAAGAAATGCCCGAAGACCATGAAAAAAACATAAGGCTACGATAATAAAATTCATGTTTACTGAATGTGCTTATTGTACACTGGTAGAGTTTAAGAGTAATGGAGAACTTAGTAACAGTAGCAAATAGTTCCCAAGTGCTTACGCCAGTACTAATAGTTCACAACCTTAATTCTCACAACAGTTCTGCGAAGTAGATTATTTTAGAGATGAGGAAGCAAAAAGTCAGAGGAATTAAAGTACTTATTTAAGGAAGTGAAAGTCAAGATTTACATGTAGACATTACAGACCAAGTATTCAGATATGTCATGTAACAGGATTTCTTATTCAATCTTTATTTTATTCCACATATATTTACTTTACATCCCACACATGAGGCACTATTCTAGGCACTAAGGATATAGAGATGAATATCAAGCTCCCAACCTTACATGCTAATGGGAGAATATATAAGGGCGCCTGGGTGGCTCAGTCAGTTAGGTGTCTGACTTTGGCTCAGGTCATGATCTCACGGTTCATGAGTTCGAGCCCTGTGTAGCTCTCTGTACTGACAGCTCAGAGCCTAGAGCCTTTTTCGGATTCTGTGTCTCCCTATCTGCCCCTCCCCTGCTCTCTCTCTCTCAAAAATACACATTTAAAAAAATTTAATGGGAGAAAATATGACTACTAGATATTACATATTAATGTATATGAAATTGTTAATATTAACATATTAACATATAATAATAATTATATATATAGCAATAAGTGCTAGGAATAAATAGTAAGAAGAGGATAAAGGGATAGACAAACAGGCACAGACTACTTCAGAGAGGTATTCAGGGAAGGCCTGTCTAAGCAGAAACCAAATTTAAAATCATACATTCTATACACATTCAATGAGGGCAAGAAGTAATTTGTGACGTGGGAGGGTATCAGACATTCCATTGAAAAGTTGAGATTTCAGTGTTTTCACTTCAGTTCAGTGTGAAAGAAAAGGAAACACAGTCCACAAAAGAAGGCAAGAGAGCAGGAATGAGCATGGTGTAACCAGCTACCAAAGATCTGTAGCAATCTAAAAATGGTATTGATTTAATTAAAGACTGCCTAAGTTGAAAGACTTTAAACAGAGCTCAGCACTACTTTGGTGCTGAACAAACGGTAAGGCCTCTAAAGACACCTGTTCCTGACTCATTCAGGCCAACTTTCCCCCTTAACAAGTACAGTGCCTTTTATACTTGCTTAGAACAAGCACTGCCCTAAGCACTAGGGGTGTACCAATTAACCAGACAGACAAAAATCTGTCCATGTGAAGCCTGTATCATCATGGGGACGGAAGGGGAAGAAAGGGGAAGGAAGAGGAGAAAATACAGAAATAAAAACATATTTTCAGTAGTAATAAGTTCTATGAAGATAAAGAGAACACAGAGTAAGAGATTGAGGGGCAGGAGATGTGAGCTATTTCAGACAGTGTGGTCAGTGAAATCCTCTCATCTCCCTGCAGCAGACCTGAGGGAGACGAGGATGCACGATTCACCAAGATATGGGGGGCAGCGTGGGTGAAGCATCCAAAGCAGTGAAAAAGTCTGGGTCAAGGACCTGAGATGAAGTGTGAAAATCATGAGTCAAGACTGCAGACCCTGATGTCAACCTTCACCTAAATGTGACCTGGGACAAGTTCTTTTCCCTCTCTGAGCCTCATTTTCCTCATCTGTAGAATGAGGACAAAGTTGTCAGCAAGGACTGGAGATGATTTAAATACATTTAAATGCATCTGGTAGGCATTCAATAACAGTATTAGTTAACTATCTTAATTAAAACATACCCCTAAACAGAGTGTCAGTTGCATGTGTTTTTATGGGAAGGATCTTATAGCTACAAACAAATCTTCAGGTCTTTTATTTTAAAACTTTAACTCTTCTACTTTTTTTTCTTTTTTTTTAAACACCACCTCCAGTCCCCTCTTCTATTTCTGAAGAGAATAGTTTTGAGTTCCTGTTCAAAACATTTCTTTCTGCTTTCACACTGTTCTATTAAATCACCATACTGAAACAGCATTTAACTGGTGTTATGACTAAGGCAAATGTCATTAAGAAACTACTGCCATATAATTTATACTATCTACGTAAGTTACTCTGCCTTACTGAAAATCCAAAATTCAAACAAATCAAGTTTCATTAAAGTACCTTAAGTCACTCATTGATGATTCATACACATAAAAAATGTTTGAGTTATTATTTTAAAGTCCTTCAACTTTGGCCATTTATCGGCTTATTTCCAAAAACAAAATTAGATACCCATGGAGATCTAATCTGACTGCTCTTTTTCAACGGTGTGAATCAGGCAATGTGAAATAACAGAGGGAATGACTGACAGAATCAGGACCGGCTCATAGGTCCTTCTTCCATCAGTAGCTGGTTACATAATCAAAGGCAGGCCCCTAGACCTCTCCTGACCTCATAATCTACCAGACACAGAAAATACCACCTGCCTATTTTACAGGACTGTTGTGAGGTATCAAACGACATAGAAAAGCTTTCTGCAAACTGTAAAGCGCTATGTGAATAGCAGTTGTTCCTTATATTTATGCTTTCCTTTGAGACCACCTTACCCAGACATTTTACTTGTAGCCATCTTAACCATCAGCAAGACAACCATGAGCCAAGATCAAAAATCTTTCTTTTATGACAAAGCTATTTTTAAAAACCAAATTAATATTGTGTGGGTACTGAAGGTTACTGACGGAACATGCCTGGTTATCTGTTTTTCTCTGGTAATCTTCCGAGGTTACGGCAGAAGTCCTCTGTAAAAGACGGCTCTGAGCAATTCAGTGTCTCCGGAAGCAGTAACAATTATAAATGTTTGGTAATGTCTTAATTAAACTATTATGAAAAATTCAATCTGCAGAGCACTTAGGCTAATAAGGTGGGAAGTTTTTTGGTTTGTGCCCCACCCAACACTAAATAATTCAAATAAAAGGTACTGACAATTCTGAAGATAAACTTCATCTATTAGAAAATCCCTGTATCCCGATGAAACTGGATGAAGGGATTATTAACACATTATATTACAAGTTAAAAACTAAAAACATCTGTAGCAATTTAGAATGGTTTCTGTAATCTAGCCACATTTCATGACACTATCCTTCTATCATCAAAATTTTCTCTTTGTACTTACAAGTACATGATAAACTAGGAAAGACATTCTCTTTTTCCAGTGCAGTTTTTTTCTAGATCTTCCTAACACTGTCCTAAGAAACTGCTTCTTAAAGCAAATTATCCCTTTTTTCCAGGACCAAATACTCTTAATGAACAGACAGATGGGTTGAAATAGCTATAGATAACAATATTTACCAAAGTTTTCAAGGAAAACTTCCTTATGAGAAATTTTAGTCTTGCCTATTAAAATATATTCATATGTTCAAGCTCTCTGCATCACTAGCAATGTAAATGACTAAAATCTCAATAGGCTTAATTAAAATATCCTAGAGTATCAGAAGTTTTAAAACAGTATCTAAAATATAATTCTTTCTTACCACTGATCCAAAATGTAATTCCTAATTTTCAAATAGCGTTCTGGTGTTTTAGCTTGGCGCCCCTCAAAAAACTCAGGAATTGCTTGTTTTTCTTCTTCTTGAATGGTATTTCTATCTATTTCTACTTCCTGCTCTGGTGGCTTAAGCTCCTCTTCCTCGTGGTTCTCCTCCTCCATTTGGCAGGAAGAATGAAAAAGCATTTCATCCTCACTCAGATCTTCCCGAACTTCACAAAGCTCTGGAGAAGGCAGCGGTCTGGTATTGTCTATTACTCCATTTCCATCATGTTTTTCACAGTTTTTCATCAGTTTATTACATTTCTGATCATTTAATTCAACTGGTTTTTTGTCACTAGTGCTCTGTTTTTCAGTCCAAAATGTAATTCCTGAGCTTGAAAGTACTTCCATCTCACCCTGCTTTGTATTCTGAAAATATTCCTTGGAAGATTTAGATCTGGAAACGTCCTGGTTCGGAGAAGCAATAAATTCTCCTTGACTGGCTTCATGACTTTCACTATTAGGAATGTTTAATAAGATACCATTGCTAGGATTTTGAGCGAGAGCTTGAGAAGTCACCTCATCTGCCTCATCTGTAATGTCTACTTCTTCATCATCAGATAACTTTTCAATTTTTACAGCATTCAAGTTGGGATCAGCACGTCCCCTTAAGCCTGATGGAGTCCATGCCTCTGTGCCTTCATCTTCATTTTTAATCTGAAGATCACTGCTGCTCTTCTGATTTGGCATTTCCTTCTCTGGACCATCTAATTTTACCTTATTAAAAATCAAGATAAAATCCTCATATTAACATTAAAAAATGTAACCACTGGCACATATAGAATAAATACATTATTAAACTGAGTACACATTAAGGGTATATTATACCTTTACTGTGCTTTCCTTCTAAGGAATTACAACTGCATTTTAAATGTAGAATATCATCGTTTCAAAATTCCATAAATAACTCATTTTTGGTCTGGTGATTTTTATTAATCAAATAATCATGACCTATATACAACTACTACTTGTTTTTCCATTTTAAGTTTAAAACAGGAATCTGGTGCAGATGAGCCACAAAGAATGAACCAAAAACTTACATACTCAGGGATTCTGAATTTTCAATGGCTTATTACTTAGAATGTCAGATACCTCCACTGATCTTTTTTTTATCATGCTGAAGAGCTCATTATTTAAAGGCATCTATGTCACGTATCTTTATTTAGTAAATTGAAGGTAATCACAGAGTAATAGAAACAACTATTTTTCAAAGGTTCATTTAATATAGTTCCAACATTATATAGTTTATAATTGAAGGCATGGAATTATCTTACATATCTGCTGTTATAGACATAAATATCTCCTCAGGGAAAAGAAAATGATTGTCAATGAATACAAATGATATGAAATAAAATCTTTACATAAACAGTTTCTGAAAAATCCTGTACATGATGACATTCCCAAGGACGACAGCTCCTAAAAGAGCTTACTTATTGATCCTATATCACACTAGAATCCCAGGAGTCAGTAGTCGAGCTTAACTGGCTTACTATGTAAAGAACAAAAGCGTTGGAGGAAGAAGAAGAGAGTGGACATATAGCCTGGCATAGCTTTTAACAACTTTGCTATTAGTCCAAATCTCCAGTTTTTACCTTAAAATTCAGATAAAATTTTGTATAATACTTCATAACATATTAATGTCTCTTTTAGCATCCTTTCACCCCAAATCTTTCAGTAAGAGTAACACTACAAGATGTTCTCCATGTTTGAGTCTGAGAAGCACAAGAGTACAAATAACCAAGTTAATCTTTATTCTCTTCCATAATACCTTAACCATGGTGGGCTGCTCTGTAAATGCTTTTGTTTGGTTAAAGAGGGAGCACATGACTGATGTGTAACAAATCCATTCCATTGCTTACTTCCTATGCTCAAATGACACTCAGATAAATCTTGTGTACAGGGTAAAACCTATTATTTGCATTAAAAGAAAACAGGAAATTTCATTTAAGACCCTTTCGAATTCTATCTAATTGTGTTCCCATAACTCAAGCAGATGACATATTAAAATTTTCTAAATATCACAACTACACAGTAAAATATAGCATAGATCACTTGAAAGAGTAAGGCACTAGACCATAACACTATAACTTACTGAAGTTTTCAGATAATTTTTCATAAAAATTATAAAAGTTTCACTGCTATTAAATAGATTTTGGCATCATGTTAGTATTTACGGCTCCTAAGTTCTAATCACTCTTAAAAGCTACAATGCAGCAAAATCTTTAAAATTTTCCAGGAAACAATGACCTCAAATAGCAATACTCCAGAAACTGAAGATATGCTTTCAGATCTTCAAAGATAAACATACGTTAAGTACTTTATGAATATAAAATACTTGTATTACAAAAACTTTGGACATTGACTTTAATGCCTCAATTAAAGAACTACTTTAAAATTTGCTTACTAATTTCTACTGCAAATATTATTACTGACTAGGATATCTTTAGCCTGCTTACCTTATTTTTAAAGTACTGCCTGGCATAACTCTTAACTTGTAAAACAGTGCGACTTCCAATTAGCTTTGCAATTTTGGTCCACCTTCGGCCAAATTTAGCCTAAGTTATCAAAATGGAAAAGAAATTTATTTTGATTAACTTGATAATATTCCAAGTAACCATCGCATTAAACCAAAAACACCTAAAAGAACAACCCATTTTTATTTATTTTCTAAGGCACACAATCAAGTCTGATATATAGCTAAGACTCTTAAAATCACTGGAATCTAGACCTGAAAACTGACCAAAATGATGGAGAAATTAGTTTTTACCGCTACTGAAATGAAGATGCACCACTTATGTATTCCTAACAATATGTATTCATATTGCACATTAGGAGGTTCCCAATCTAAAAAAATGCCTCAAAAAAGGCAGGTTACGTTTCCCATTTACAGAATCAACCGATTATGTTCTAACACTGATTTCAAAATACCTTTTGTTTTTTACCCGGATCCATGTGTTAACAGTACCCATTACCTGTCCCATAGTTCTTTCACTCTACACAGTACTGCAATAAACAGACTTACAAGAACGAATCACACATGACAGGACCTGCAACCAACAGCTCCCTGTAGCCCTGTCCCGTGAAAGGCTGTGTGCCTGATGACAGTGAAACTGTGGTGGGGAAGAAATGAGACCCAAAGGGAGATCTGGAATTTTCTGAAGATAGAAAGGAATGTAATATTTTTTAAAACTAGATTTGGTGTTCTAATTTTTTTAAGTTTATTTATTTACTTTGAGAGACAGAGAGTCCAAGCGGGGGAGGGGCAGACAGAGAGGGAGCATCCCAAGCCGGTTCTGCACTGACACAGGGCTTAAACTCATGAACCACGTGAGATCATGACACGAGGCGAAACCAAAAGTCACAAGCTTAAAACCAACTGAGCCACTAAGATGCCCCTAGGAATGCAATCTAATTTTAAAGCTAAAAGGAATTTTTAAGTGTCAACTCTATTACTTGATACATAAATCTTCACAACAGCTCTACAACTCAGGTAAGCTGATCCCAGGGCCAGATTTACAGGTCAGGTTATGACATGTACAGGTCATGACCTACAGTGGCAAGTCATCTTTAAGACCTGACCCAAATGATAAACTGATTATAGATTTATTTCTGATATTCATGAGAAAATCTGACACACGAACAATTTTTTATAACTGAAAGCACTTTGTGGGCCCTGGTAGCTTGGTCAGTTAAGATTCTGACTCTTGATTTCAGTTCAGGTCATGATCTCAGGTTCATGAATTCAAACCCCACATCAGGCTCTGTGCTGACAGTGCAAAGTGTGCTTAGGATTCTCTTTACCTCTCTCTACGTTCCCCCCACCCCCAAATAAATAAATAAACTTAAAAAAAAAACCCTCAAAGTACTTCTAAGATAATTCCTACTATCAATTAAGTAATTAACAATTATCTTAAATAATCTTGTTCTTATCTAACACCTAGCTGAGGTCAACTTACTGAAAAATTAGTTATATTTATTGTGGGATGAAGGCAAATGAATAACTTCATAGCATGGAACACTTTTGGACACAGCAAAGATCTGGACAATTAGGACTGTAGGAGCTTAGGCCTTATGAAAAGTGGAGAGGGTGCACTAACAAGGGGAACAAAGAAAAAACTCACCAATTTCAAAATAGGGCAAAGAGACAGCTCTATGCCCCAGAAAGGGAAAGAAAAATCTTCCTTCATCATTCAGTACCACATAATTCCCTTCTCTAAAGCCTGACAGAATTCAGTGTATAAACAAACTATATCAAGAGATTAAAATACAACCAATAGTTCCATTTAGTTTTGTGGGAAAAAATTCTAAGTTTAAAATATCTTATGTATATAGGTAGACACCTACATACGTATGTAAATAAATATGTATTTGCTTATATAGGGACAAGGTATCTCCGGAAGCATACACAAAGAACAGAGGACAATGGTTACCTCTGGCAAAGAGAACTGGAGGGAGAGATAGAAGCGATAAGGAGACTTAACACCCTATTAACTTTAGATACCCTTTGAATTTTGAGTCATGCAGATGTAGCCCCTGTCATTACCACCAGGGTCAACAGTAATCTAAAAATTCACAACCCATTATTGTGTATACATGTACACGTACACACACACACACACACACACACACACACACACACAGTCTTCAGTAAGGGGCAAAACACCAAAAGCAGTCAGCAATCTTACATAAGTAACTAGTTAATTAAAGTTCAGTTATAAAAATGATAATCATGCAACACAATGAAATACCAATATAAAAATCATCAACAGTACAGGATAAAAAAACCTCAAGATAAAACCTTCAAGATAGTTTATTTATTTATACAAAGATATCACAGAATATATAGATGTCATGGTGATAACTGTAAAAATACAAATACATTTTATTTCCCACCATCTGTAGAAATGTTAACAATGACATTTCAATTTGAATTCATAAATCTCACATAAATATTACATAAATATCCTACATATAAATATATATAATTTCAAAATTAGCATAACATTGGGTGACGTGTACCTTAAAAGAAAAAGATACAACCTACTCTTAATAGTTAGAAAAAAATTTCCAAATATTTTCTTAGAAGTTTCTTTATATTAATAGAATTTTCAGAATTAGAAACTGGCATACATTTTTTTTTCTATTATGTAACTTGTGGACACTTAAATAGATCTCAGTGAAACATTCGTGCAAAAGAAATGTTTCTGTCTTCCACTAGATCCACTAAAAAAATATTCAGACTGTGCGCACAATGCCAAATTATCTGAATAAAAAAGAACTAAGCTGATTATGCAGACAGTTCCAAATAATATGTTTTTTTGTTTTTCTGGTTTCTCCCCCAAGAGAAAACAGCAGATAACTAAATAATTGTTCCTTTTAATCCAGGTAGTTAGTGTCATGTATACAGACAGAGCTCAATTTCTTGGGTTTTATTAATACCAAAAAGGGGGGGAGGCGGAGAGAATGAAAACTATCTACAATACTGACCCAAATCTATTTTAATATTTTAGTAACTTAGGCACGAGTTAAAAGGAATTCTCGCATGGTATTCTACAAACATCACCACTACAGAAAGACTAAAGATGTGATCATTAAAAAGAAATTTCTGGTCTCTGTGAATTAACCTTATAATTCTATTAATATTGGCTTCTAGAATTATTTTACTATGAATTAAAAATTGCACTATTTACCAGCCCTTGTTCAAACAGCTCTTTTTCTTCTATCGTCCACTTTACTGAGTAACTGGCTGGTTTTGTAGGAGAGTGTGCCCTGAAGGGAAAAAAAGGAATTGCAAAAAAAAAGTCTGAAATGGAACATTCCATATTTATGCAGCTAAAGGTTACACAGATAGCCATAGGCTAAATTCAATACTGTGTCTAAGAGTAAAAAGAAGAAGAAAAACAAGGCTGCAGCCTCTACCTGGGGGCAGATTTACCCTGTCTCGTAAACTTCTCTAGCCCAGGATAGGAGCCTCAAAACACATAATCCTTGGGTCTGAGTGAAGATAACACTAAAAGACATCAAAGGAAGTCAATGTGATAGCCAACAAACAGGCTTCCTTACACTGGACACAAAGCAGCAGACATTAATACATTTCCAAATCCTGAAAGGTATAGGAGTGTTTAAATAGGCTCCAGAAATATTATCTCTTTGATTCTTCCATGTAAATCTATGTAAATATCGAGCAAGAAGAAATTGTGGCATTATGTTTATTACTTCTGAAATGCAGTTCCTTAAGAAATTAAAAATAAAAAAGTGATGAAGCTCATTAACTTAATTCAAGCAAACCATTAATCTTCATTAACTTCTTTGTTTTTATTCAGCAAAATGCAAAAGCCAAAGTCTGCTCAGTGCTCAAAACCTTGGAAATTTTAAATCTATCCTTCTAAGTCTACCCTTTGAAGGACCATTAACGTGAAAGTTTGTAAACAATAACATGAAATTTTCTTCAATTATAGGTAAAGAATATAAAATAGTTAATACTTAATTTTTTAGATAATTTTTGAAGGCCACAAATTCAAATTAAAGTTTTGTTTGAAATGAGTGAAAATTAACTGACAGGGCAATAGAAATCAAGCCAATTCCTAATACATTAGCAGCTTTAAAGTTATTTCCCCACAAGTCCCTAAGAAACCATCTTTTCCATAACCTAATGGAATTGCTTATGTAGGGCCATAAAAGAAATTCTGACGTATAAATAACATTATAAAATTATCTTGTGGCATTCCAATATCTGTATAAGAAATTTTGATTTTATATTTTTGTACAACCCAAGGTCAAGAGTTTTTCCACAGGCTATAATTTTTATTTAATTCTCCTATAATTTTAAAATGTAAAACATATAAGTACATACATGATTTTTGCTGTTTTCTGTAGACTGCACCACATGAAAAAGAAAACAAGGGAGCTTGTGAGCAAGTTTTTAAAAATATAGTTCATAATTTTAAGAGTATTAAAAATTGATTTTACCTCTTCAGGTATTTTTTATCATCATCCTTTTGATCAAGCCAGAAATTTTCTGGAAGTGATTTTTTAGATAAGTAATACCTGTGTTATTATTAAAGAAACTTTTCATTTTTTATTTATTTAAAAAAATTTTTTAATGTTTACTTTTGAAAGACAGAGAGAGACAGAGACAGAGTGCAAGCAGGGGAGGGGCAGAGAGAGGGAGTCACAGACTCTGAAGCAGGATCCAGGCTCTGAGCCATCAGCACAGAGCCCCATGTGGTGCTCGAACCCACAAACTGCAAGATCATAACCTTAGTCAGATGCTTAACTACCTAGAGCCACCCAGGTGCCCCAAGAAACTTTTTAAACAATAATAAAATCATGTGATTTTTATAGTGACTTATATTAAGTAGGCACTCATTATCATGGAAATCACACTTGAACCTGGCTAAATCAATTCTTCTTAAAATCCTTTCAGGTCTGCAAAATTACGATGAAAATATTTATACCTCACAAGGGTGTTATATGGATTACATATTACATGTGAAATCACATAATCACAAAACCTGTGCTACAAAAAAATTAGCTTCTCCTATATTCCCTCTTAGAAGTGGCTAAGAGAAGAAAGTAGACTTAAATGTTTCATTTAAATAATTCTTAAAGCATATGGGAAAATTAATGGATGAATCTGCCTGGTTGGCCAGGATTAACTGGGGAGTATGGTTTCATAGTTCTAAAGAAAACAAAATTCAGGGTTGTTCTCTACCTTAATAAAAATAACTTAGGTCAACTCTACTAGGGAGCCTCCCTCTCAAACTTCTTAAAACTGGCCCACTGTAATCCTTTTAGATTAGTCCGAGGTGTTCTTCCCTTGAAAAATACAGACTATGTACCTTGTATGTCAGGAACTATGCTAGGTACTAGGAGCTGAGGACAAAGCTACAAGAAAACATCCCTGTCCTCTGAAAGTTCACAGAGTTTTGACTCTCATTATTTCTGTTTCCCAATCTAGAAGTGAGCCAATGACCACTTAAGTATTCACTAATTGAGAATTGCACTGTCCAATACATTTGGCAATAGCCACATGTAAACAAAGACTGTAAAATATCTCAATAATGTTTTTCTATTGATTAAATGTTGAAATATTATCTTATATATACTAGATTAAATCAAATATCTTAATAAAATTAATTTCACCTGATCTATATGTGGCTACTAGAAAATATTAAATGATATACGTGCCTTGCACTATTTTTCTATTGAAAAGCAACGATCTAGGCTATAGCTGTGATGTTGGGGAAGAGAATAAGAAAGTCTAAAAGGAATTAATCTAGGATAATTAAAGCTACATAGACACTCTGAAATCAACATAGCAATAACTTAATAAAGGGAACAGAGAAAGTTCTGGCTTAAGAAGGAAGTAGATATCCATAAAACACAGATGAGAGAGTTAAAAATAAACCACTATTTATTAGACTATCATTAATAATCTTTAAAAATCATAAAATCAGAAATCATTTTGTTCAACCCTTTCATTTTACATATAAGAAAACAGAGTCCCAAAGAAGTTAAATTGCCATCATCAAATTTAAACGAGGATAAGAAGCTAGTAGTTAAACTGTGGGTAAAGATCTACGGTTATAGATTTTTTCTGAGGGGAAAAAAGTCTTCAACCTGCAGTATTTGTTTTGTGCTTTTTTACCTAGATTCCTCCCACATAATACCTGTAATTTGATGGCATAAGAACTTTTACATATTCTAGTTCTGTGTCTCTGAGTAAATTACTGTCTCTAGGTTTCAGCTTCTATAACTGAAGATGGAGGCTCGGACTAATACTCTTGGACATGGTTCTAGCTGACATAAAACAGTCCACAAGTCCTACTCAACATTCAGATATTAAAAGAGTTGGTTGACAACAGAAACCCAAACATACTGAGTCAGAACTGACTCTGTAGTAAAACAGAACCAAAGGAATAAAATGTGACTTTCTGCCCAGGTAGGTAACACATTATGTAACTGCAGTCTGGGGCCAAACAAGATCCATCCAGTGGTAACAGAGATCTCTTTTGTAAGTCTTGCATTTATTGGTTTTTAACCCTGAAAGTTTTACTTTCCTCAAAATCATTAAAGGATACTCTTCTTCCAACAACATCTTCTCAATGACAGCTCTGTTCTCTTCACTGATAGTGGTATCCAGAGTCCAAGGCTATTAAAAAAGAATGTATTTTTCTTTTTATTTATGGTTTTTGAAATTATCTTCTATGTTTTGTTAAACAAAATACATGATACAAGGATTACAAATAATAAAGCTACCATTTACTAAGCACAGACATATCTCTGATTCCCTGTGAGGTAGGTGTTATTCCTTCCCTGATGCATCCATAGCCCCGCTAGCGTCTCAAGTGGAACAGCAGAGGGCTGGTACACACAATTGCTGGATTCCAAGGCTCAGGCTCCTACGCACCACGAAGTCACAACGGCTATCATGTATGAGGAGTTATCAGGTAGCAAGCATGTTGCTAGATATTTCACCTATTTCCAAAACGCACTACACTTCTTTTTTCCCTTAAGTCACAATCTCTCCTTAAATGATCATACTCATTGTCAACTCTCAAAAGTTAAAAATTTTCAACTCAGGTCTCTTATTCAGGCTCCATATAGACTGTTATATCTAACTGTCCACTCAAAATGTCCACTCAGATACCTAGCAGCCTTCTCAACATTAACATATTCAAAACTCACTAACACTTACCTTCCCCTGCTTCTCCCGTGTTCCCGATTTTGTACACAGCACCATTAGTCACCTAGTTATTCAACCTTGAAACTTAGGAATCATTCTGGACTTCTCCCTTTTTTCTCAAATCCCCTATCCAACCTACCAAGCAGTTCTATGTCCAAAATATAATTAAAATCTGATACTTGTACCACAACCTCAGGCCATACCGCCACCAACTCTTGCTACTCTTGCTTAGATTATTGCAAATGTTTCCCTCCTGGTCTGTTTGATGCTACTCTTGCTTCATACAAACACGACAGAGCTCTGGTCTGCCTCTCCAACCTCATCACAGCTGCTACTCCCCCCGTTCCCACTATATTCTAGACACTGGCTTTCAAAAGGAGCCTTTGTGCTGCTATTCCTTCGGCCTAGAATGTTTTTCCTCAAAACATCTCCTCATGTTTTCCTCATGTATCTACTCCTCTCTGTTACTTGTCAACTTAACTGTCACCTTCTCAGTTTTCCTCAATGACACCTTCATCTAAAATAGGCTCCCTCCCCGTTACTCTCAGCCAGCGTCTTAGGTTCTGTATGGTCTATAATTAATTAGCCTACTTATTTATCACCTGACTCCCTTTTTAGAACACAAGCTTCTTGTGAGCAAGATTATACCTCAATTATAGCTGTATCCCTGAACCTGGCCTAGTGGCACACAGTAAGTACTCAATAAATAAGTGCTAAATGAAAAAAATGAGCCTTGCAATGATCTCCATCTTTTAGAAAAAACTGGAGTTCAAAAATCTGATAAGTGGTAGCTCAAGGAGATAATACCTAAGCTGGATCTAAATCTAGCTGGATCCAAAGCTGTTTCTCAACAGAACATTTTTCAAAGTCAAAAGAAGTAAGACCCAGACGCCCCTCTTTTACTTTTAAAGTAGGAAAAATGTTTCAGAATATTACCCCTACAACTGCTGAGAACCACTAAGTAAAAAAGAGGTACCTGAGCAAGGAGTAGTAGCTTAATGCACCTAATATTTTCATAAAATACTTACAATAAGACCATTCTCAGTTCTCCATGATGAATCAAGATAGTGATCTTGTAAAACAGATGTTGTATTTTCATCACTTCTGTAATAATTAAGAAAATGGGTTTAAAAAAAAAAAAAAGAAAATGGGTTAAAAAAAAAAGGGATATTATGCCAGTTAATGAATATAATTTACACAGCACAGTGACTGGTAGGGTATAGACGCTTTGCAAATATTTTGTTCCCTTCTTCCCTTAACAAACAGACTTACCCTGCAGAAATGCCTTCTCTACTTCTTTAGCCTGTCATATATACAATGGCTTTAAGTCACCCTATCTCAACCGCTAACCAGCAAGTCTGTTCACCTCTGTTTGCCAAGAGTAAACAACTTCATTGAGAAAACACCCCGCTGCAGCAACCACAACATGTTCTATGGCCATGAACTAACACTTCATTGTTCTTCTGATGCACTCGCATATGAATACAGGAATTCAACTTTACAATTAATTCTTTTAGTTATATCTAAGGTATAAGAGCCATCAACACCACCACGCTCAAAATGAAGAAACAAGACAGTAGATCGAAGAACCGAAATAGAAAAAAACTCACAGTAAAGAGAACAGAAAATGTGATGTTTCAGTAACAACTTATATAGTAAAAAAAATTAACCTGGGTTATCTGGGGGCTTTTCTACTTCCATGGGGGGTTAAACTTTGTTCATTCTCACTCCTGTCACCAAACTATTAAAAACTCTCTAAAGTCACATTGTTCACTTCTTATGCAAAAAAGCCAAAGAGTTAAATTTTGGAGGGCCCAATCTAGGATATAATTAAATTTAATATTTGCTTTTTTATGTCTTGAAGTTATAAAGTTTCCTAGAAAATTACCGACTTCTCCCAGACCTAATCTAGTGGTAAGAATTTTGTACCTTAGGATGCAAAACCTATCTACAGGTTTATACTTTTGAATCTTCAACCAGTTCTACAGTAGTTATAATAAATTGCAGGACTAATGGATTATGTACAATGAACTAACAGCAGTAATTTCTCTCCGCTGTTGATGGCAAAAAGGTTTTAAATCTGGTGTTAACTCTGATTTGGTAGAGGCTGTCAGGAATGCTAAACAAAGGATTCTGAGGCTTGTGTCAGCAGAAGGAAACCTCTGCATAAGGAGGTCTGCCAAGGGGGCAGGAGGTGGGACTAGTATCAAGTCAGGTTTAATGCAGATATCGTTTTACACAGTGTTCCTCAATAAGGATTAGCAACTTCTACACCTCTGGTGTATGCATCTGGACACCTACCTGAATTTCCACAGGTAGCATACATTAACATGTTTAAATCTTAGCT